AAGGATTTTCTTCATTTCCTCTTTTCTTTCTCACTTTGGCTTCAATCTAAATGATGTAGTTGAGTGCACTCGTTATTGAGAAAGGATCAAATATTGCATTCTGATAATAAAAGTAGAGTTGAGTCTGTGATAGAAATCCTAGCTGATATAAAAGAAGATTTCTGAGTGTGGCTTTGTAGAGGAAAAAAAAGAAAAGAAGCTTTTATGCTTTTGGGAGTCTCAGAAATAGGCAGCAGGGAATAAATTGTGATGGTTGTTTCAATCTAGATTTCTGTCAGGAGAAAAAGTAGTCTGAGACACCGGGGAATAAGGCAGAGAGAAGCTGGTTTTGGTCCTTCCTAACCAAAGAAAGAAGCCAATATGTGTTATTTGGATTGCAGTGCAGGATGAGAGTGGAGGAGATTACACGTGTGTACAGGTTTTCTAGTTTTATGAAAAATTCTCTAATATTTCTCCCTCGTTTCAGTAGATCAGTATTACAAAAGCTGATGGTCAGAGGTTCCCGAAAGCAACTGGCACAGAGGTAATGTCAGAGGGGCAGGGAGTGATGTTCACCCTTGGATGGAATTGTGCTTCTGGAAGTGCGTGGAAAGGGCCTGGGAAGCAGCAGAGCTGCAATCAGCTCCACAACCTAGATATGGATATTAACAAGTAATTAAAACTTGATTTCCTCCTCCATCTTCCCCTGCACTGTTCCTAACCTACCTTTAAAAATAGCCTTAAACACTGGTTATGAATATTAACCTTTCTGCTGCTACAGAGAAAAACACAACATGTGGTGGTGTATTAATAATTAAAATCAGGAAACTAAGAGCACAAGCACTCGAGGGAGCCAGCAGCAATAATGTTATTGAAACAGGCAATTTAAGAGTCAGAATTTCTCAAATAATTTAAATGTTAACTTTTAAGATGACCTATAAAAGATGAAACAAAGTATAAATCATCAGCAACTATGCTAACTTTTTGCATAATTGGAAGTTTATAATTTTCCTCCTTCTCTGTCTCTCTGTTTTAGGAGGAACAGTAAAGCCTCAGAAGCTCAGAAAACTTCTTAAAGAGGGAGTACACAAATAAATGAGATTTGAGCACTTTAAGTAATATAAACATTGCAACCAGAGGAGAAGAGGTGAGGAAAAAAAGGTGAGTGATTAGGTGCTGATCTCTTGGCTGCCACAGTTAGGGTTTTCGCTATAATCAGTCCTACCCTACTATAAAGTGACCTGAGTGTCTCTATGGTGTATTATAGGAACTGGTATACCTGAACAAAAGCCAGGTAGGTTTTGTGAGGACTTGTGGGAATTGCTAACCTTGTTTTGAATTTGTGTTTATTTTTATTTTTTTAACCCAGGCAATTTTATTTTTTTTTGTTACGTGTTTTGGTTTGTTCTCCTTTTTGTTCTCTCTCTTACTTGTTGAGGAGAGTTTGATCTGTTGGCATTTCCCTGTAACAAATTTTTCTCCAAGCCCCTTCCTTGCTTTGCCTTTGGACTGGGCACCCAAGACCCTTCAGATCTTGGGAAAAATCTCCTCTGGGACATGTGTCATACACTGGGTTCTCAACAAAGCCAATTTCTCCATAGAGAAAGGTTGTTTTAAACTTACTGCATGGTCCTGTCTTGTACAAAGTAAAGTGAAAGTCTGAGCCAAGCTTTTCCTCTCTTCTGAATCTGAAGCTGCATCCATGACATTTCCTGGTTACAGCTCTTGTCAGTTTTCTATTCCTTTTTTTTTTAATTTGGATATAGAGGTCATTATCAAAATATTAATTATCTCTTCAGTTTTCCAGGTGCTGCCTCTTTGAGTAACTGTTTGCACTGAAGGGTCTCTAGATGTGCTTCAGAGGAAACCTGCTAAAATTTCACAACCCTGTTGTTTTTCAGTGAGGACAGACCACTTTCTCAGATACTGAGCTCCATAAGAGTTTTTTCATTAATAGTGACTAACAATGGGAAAAGCATTAAATCTCAGGGATCTAAAATGAAAAAGATGAGAAGTAAAAAGCTTTCACACAGCGAATTTTACTTCATGTATCTTAAACATATTTTATCCTCTGCATTATTCTTCTGAATTATTGTATCCTTCTGGTTACCCACAGAAGCAAGAAAGCAGGAGAGCTAATGTTTCACACCAAAGCCCTGAATTCTTCAGGAATGTTATAGAAACACCGTAATTTTTCCCTTTTCTATGAGTTGAATATTGCTTATTTGTCAGTTGAAAGTGTCTCCTCTGCCTTTCCCGCTGTCCAGATGGTCTTACTGTTGTCACATAGATTGAAAGTAACTAACCATTTTCTTACCCGAGGTAAGTCCCTATTGTCAGAGAAATGAGGGTCAACACTGTGCATGTTTCCTATGGAGTTTTTTTAATTGAGACCCTGCCTGTGTGCTACGTATCCTTTTGATTTTCAGCAAGCTTGATTTAACACTGGAAGTAGAATGTGTATGTGTGTGGGGAAAGGTTTTTCGAGTAGTTTGAGTAATGAAAGAATTTATAATAGAAAATAAAACCTTTAAAGTTTCTTTTTCCCTCTTCATCATTTGTGTGGTTAGTCTGCTGCTAAAAGTATTTATGCTCCTATCTCTAGTCTTTCTAATAGTGAGCATGTTGCCTTTTCTCCCTGCCATGCCGTGCTTTTAGTTCTACATGTTGCTGTAGCATCCAGAAGCAAATAACATGATGAAAACCTCTTAATGCACTTTACTGTACAGCAAAACAGGAAGACATGGTTTTTCCAGTCTCCAAAGTCCCTATCCTTTCCTATTTTTGGAGGTGACTTAACATATTTCTTACAATATTAACTATTTAGCAATGTGCATATATATATATATATATCACCTTCCATCCATCTGTCTCCTCCTCCACCAACCATCATCAACTGTTTGAACTCCTGTGGTTACAAGAGCAAAGATCAGGTTTGAGGAAATGCTTAAATGAATAAATGTGAGAAAGAGGTAGAAATATGAAATTTTAAAACTTAATTGATGGTAATTTAAAGTCTTGAATTCTCTCCACTTCCTCCATCCTACTTCTAAGTGCCTCTAATCACCCTGCCTTCATCTCTCTGCTCTCCCTTCTTTTCCTTCTCTGTTTAGTTTCTTCTCACCCTGTTAGTCTGTTATAACCCTCATTTGTATACAGGGTATTTTCCTCCCTTTTCCAGCAGTTTCTTCCCCTTGAGCACTCTCATTTCCCTCTCCGTTGCTCCCCCCACTTGCCTGAGATTTTCAATCATCACTTCATGGCAGTGTTCCCTGAACCTCCCTGTGCTCACATCGCTGTACCTGCCGCGGAAAGAAAAACACATTACTTGATTCATTTTAGAAACGATTTTACAGTACGTCAAGATAAAAAGGCTTGGGGATATAAACAAGCTCAGAAATATTTTGAGATCAGGTAGATGTAATTAGAACACAGGCTGTTGATTAGATTACTTTATTTTGCAACAATGGGAGTTTAATCACGTTTGAAATTGGTTACAGGATTTCTTGTGATGATTAGATATTTCTATCATATTTTAGTCATTTTTAATTACACCAATAAATACTAGTTGTTTACTTTTTTGACTTACTTTTTTCCTGTCAGTGTGCAGACAGTAACTAGGCCTGCTGCTCAGCAGCCACGGTAAGTGCAACCAGCCTCCTCATGGCATCCACAGAGCAAGGAGGGGAGATCTCAGTTCTCTTCCTTTGAGAGAGGATTGCTCATTACCTGTTTCACAATTCATCCCTCATGCTCATCAAAGCTCTGCCTGCTTCTGTTTTAAACCCCAGACAGTGAAGGAGAAGTTAGTATGTCCAGTTCAGGCTATACAGAAACGTCCTTCTTGAGCAAACCCACAAAGACAGCACTGTGGTCCCTGAGGGGCTAAAGGGAAGCTTGGGGCTCAGTTGATGCTCTGAACGGGGTCAGAGCTGAACTTGGATGTCACAGTATATCCTTCCAGAGCTCTGTGGACATGTCCCAGGTGCTGTATTCCCCTGAGAATGGGATGACAGTACTGAGGAATACATTCAGTGCAGGTGGCTCAGGGGGTGCATGTTGAGCTCTGGATGGGAGCCCAAGACAAGAGGTTGTGAACTGCCAACCCTTTACATGACAAAAGGCACAGGGACCACCTGTGGCACAACCAGGTGAGGGACACCCTGAGACAAGGCAGGAGCCGATGACTCCGGAAGAAGAGTGAGTGTGACATACTTGGGCTAGGAGAGAAAAAAACCCCAGGGATTCCTTTGTTTGGAGACCCTCCTCAGAGGCACCAACTCGAACTGTTTCTGTGTTACTGCACCATGAATAAATTGCTTTATGGAATGAGTCGTCTGACACACTAATATGGGAAACTTGTAGTCAAACCGATGAGGAACCGAGGAGGTCTTGACTGTGTGAGTGGGGTGTGCAGGGCATCAAGAGGGGACCTGTTGGGTCACTGGAACCACTGCTGTGAAAGGGCCTCAGTCCCAGCAGTGAAAGTCTGTGGTGCTTGGAGTGTGACTGCCTGAGAGTCTCATGAATGGTCACGCTGGGAAGGTTCCTTAACAACAGGACTCGAGTTTAAATGGCTGTTCCTGAGCTATACAGTGCTGTGGTGGCAGAGCTGGCCTCGGCTCCTCTGCACTAGTCTGCTGTGCAGATGCACACACACAGATGCACCATGTCCCTTTACATATATATACATATATACACATATGTATATAGTGCTAGGCTGACAAAACTGGTATGGGAAACAGCACAAACTTGTTAGCTTTCTTCCCTTGGCCTATGGGGCTGCAGCCCCACTGGACTAAAAGTTGCCAACTCCCTGGGCAGTGCACATTATCTCCCCGATGGGTTCTGTGTCACCATTTTATTCCCAGGGAGGGAGAGCAGAGCTGTCAGTTGTCTGCCTTCACTGCCAAAGAACAGTGCTCGTGGCAGTGGGAGATGGCCACGTTAGGCAGATGCAGACTGCCATTCCCACAGATCAGGTTTGATACTGTGGATGTATCAAGGTCAAATGAGGGAAGATATAAACACTCCTCTTTAGGTTTCTGCATGCAGTGTGAGAGCTTCTTGTCCTTCAGTATGACAGAGGGAGTTTGTGGGATCCCAGGAGACTTAATGCACCAAGCTGGATCTGATAATCTTACAGGAAAACAAATTCTTTTTTTTTTTTTTCCCCAAAGACTCCCACTTTTTGAGCCTCTTGGATCGGTTTCCCTCAGCTACCTGATCAGATTATTCACACTGTACCTGGACTGCCACTCTTTTACAGTTTATATGGCACCTAAACCCCCAGAAGGCTCAGCAGACAACAATTCTATGGCTTTAATAATATATTATATAATATAACATAACTATCCTCCCATAATTAATTCCCAACTGCAGATAGGTATTTTTTCTTTTTCTTTTTTTTTTCCCCTCTTCCTACATCCACTCTGATGTGTTAAATATGTCTTCAGTGATGGAGGTCTGCAAGCAGTCTGCTTTAAAAGTTTAGGCTACACATTGTCTTTAGGTTAGTGGCACAATTTTCAACTTTAGTGTTCCTGTAACATTAAGAAATGGATAACTCATTGTGTGATCCAGTATTATTGAGGTTTAGGAACCACACTGGATTTATCTGCAAGACTAAATTCTGTAAAGTAAACTTTGAAAGTTGCTGTTAACAGAACATTTGCCCTGTAACACAAGTCTGTTAAACTTTGGGCAATCTCTGTGTGTGTGTATATCCAGACAGCAATATTGTCATCTTGAGCTGTTGTTGCAGGGAAGGGAAAGTGTGACAGGTAGAGGTTTTTTGTCCCTTTACCCTGTAGGTTGATTTTTAAAACTTAATTCTAATGTGTATCCTGCTGGATTCAAACTCTGACGATACTAGAAACTGTTCCTGAAAATAGGTCAATATGGAGAGGAATGAAAGGGAAAACACTGAGAAGGAAACAGAAAAATGAATTGTGTGATTCTAAGAAGATAGTGTTCATGAGCAGACCACAGAAGGAGGTGGTACTAAAAAGATAATGATTGTATTTGCAAATGCAAATTTGAAATATATGAAAACCTATGGAAAAAAATAGAGGAGATTTGAGTAGTAAAATCAAAACTTTGATTAGTTCTTTCAAGACATGAATAGAAAATGTGATCCTCATAAGGACAGCTCTATTACTTTTCCTATTAGAGTGAATTTTCAGTCCTGCTTCCCCACTTTCTTTTTCTTTTAGTTGAAGTTTTTCTCTGGCAATATTGCAACCTTTTCAACCAAACCACTGTTACCTTGGTCATTTATAGCTCCAGAAACATCAAAACTTTCTGTGGCTCATATACCTGTCTCTTAAAGGGGGAGTTGCCTCTCAGAAAGAGTGGTCTTATATTCCTGGAGTAAGTGCTCACACAGTCAAATGGGCTTTGGGAACCAAAGAAAATAATGTGAGGTTCAAAACATCTCCAGCTTAATGTATTTCCCCCCTTCTCCTCATTTACCCAGTTTTCCAAGAAATCAGCCAGGCAAAGCTGTTCAAATCTGATGCTGGTAAAACTGTGAAAGTTTAACATAAAGAAAGGAGAAGCATTTCTATACGCCACAGTGAATACCAAAACATATTTGATAACACTGACTTAATGTAAGTGTGATAAAGCAGTTTTTAGCATAACATTTTATATTACCTCTTTGCATAATACCTCTTTGGTAGTGTGGTTCATAAGGACAAAATAATACATAAAAGATGCAGTACAAAGAAAGATAAATTGAGGGCATAAATTTCCTTTTGAGCTCCAAGCTGTGCCATGAGGGGAAGCACATTCAAATAACTTCTGTCCATCCACAGAAGTCAGAATGCCTCATCCTTGCAGTTTTAAAACTAAATTCTTGTCACTCTGAATGATGCTTTGGCTGGGCCACGATCAACAGAACACAGAATTTCAAGGTCTCTAGGATGAACAAGTTCTTATTAACCTATCTATTCTTGTGTTAAAGGCACTGAGAAGTGTCTGTGTTCTCTTGTAGGGAGGTGACAATGACTGATCATGTACCACCAGCTCTTCAAGCTTCTCCTTACAACAGTCTCTCCTCACAGTCCCAGTGTTTTCAGTGTTCAGTGAGTGATCGTGGGGGATGGTTTGTAGCACAAGAGCAGTTCCCACAGAAGTGTTCCAAGAGGTTATTTCCATTGCTTATTTGGATGGAGCACAGTGCCTAGCAATTGCCTACCAGTCCTCTCTTCTGAGAGGTGACTGCACTTTCTGAGCAGGACTTGGGAGTCTGAAGAAGCTCCCAAGTATTGTTCAACATTATTAAGCAGTAATAACAATGTTCTGCTGTTCCGCATCATTTTCAGTCCAGCAGTGTCAAGATCCACGACATATCCCTGAGACAGAAAATCAGTGTCCTTATTTTAGTGATGCAGATGATGAAGCAGAACGTGGTAATGTGTCTGTCACAAGGACAAAGGCAGTAGGACTGTGGTAATGGCAGGAACTTTAATGGGATTTTTCTGTGGTAATCAAAAGATGGCATTTCCAGCAGACCAAGGACTACACTCTAGGCTGAGAGTGGATCTGGGAGGAATGATGTACAATGATTGTTCTGATTCCTCCTCCCCTGCCACAGGTTTAATGTTATTTAATGATTGTTATACAGCAGCGCCTCAGGGCTCTGTTCTGCTAGGCTCCTTGCACACAATTAAAAAAAGATATAATCCTTAACCAAAACCTAAGGTTGTAGACTGCATTTCACCTCTTATAACTTTAAAATAACAAAGATTTCCATGGGGAAAAAAATAATTAAAAAAACCCTAAATTGATGGGTGTATTTCAGCCAGGACACTGCATTTGGGGAGTTTTTCCAATGCTCTCACACAAAAAGAAGATAATTTACTAATAAGTTACATAACAAATTACAGGAACTTATACTAATAATTTTTTCATTATTGTCATCAGTCCATTAAAATCTTCTCTGCAAGGCAAACTGTAGACGAAAGAGAAGGTGAGATTGATGTGGGATTTTTTAATTTTACTTTTTTAAACTTTTTTCTATTTCATATCTGAGGTAAATGTGCTAAACAGTAAATCCCAACCTGACAGATTTAGACAGGTCTCTGTATAACAAGCACTCTTTTTCAATCTTTAAATGTCACAGCTGCATAAACCTTTTCTATGTTCCCTCCCATTCTCTAAACCCTTTGTAAACCCATTATAATTTTTAAAAGATTTTATTCCTCACAGCTACTGCATAGTGGAGGTAAAACCAAATTTTTATTTTCCAGGGTGCTGTAACTTGAGATAATATCCAGAGTGCTTGAATTGAAACTTCTATGAAGAATACACTCTTGTTTGTCCCTGAACAAGAAAAAATGTGAACATATACATTGTGTAAGTTGCTGGAGATAAAAAAATGCCCATAAATATGGTTGTGTCACTTTAAATATTCGAAGTATACTAAAGAAAGTAAATAACACTACAATTTTCACTGCAGCAGCCAACAGCTGGCTGGCTTTAAATCTTAGTGGAAACAACATTTCTGGATGCTCAGAGCCTCCACTCTTCCATTTCAGCTAAAGGCAGGATTACTTGAGCTGTATTATATCCTCCATCTCATTTTCAGCTCTATTGCACCAATTATGCAGCCTGGAGGCTTATAGAGGCTTATATTGAGTTTCAGATAGATATAAGAAAGTCGTCTATATTCTCTGTGATAAAAATAGTCATTAATTACTGAGATTTGTAAACCGCTTAGCATCCTTCTTAATGTGGTACATCAGGCATTTTACTCCTTTCTATTGCTAGTCGCCAAAAAATGTGTGGAGAAAAATACTTCAGGAAGAATATGATCTTTCTTAGCTAGAATTGAATGCTGGAGTTAGAGGGATGTACAGAAAAGGCTTAGCCACTTCAAGTATGAATTTGGTTTTCAAGGGCTTCATTGTTTGTGTCTATAAAATCGATTAAACGCTGATATTGAAGGCAGCCCCTTGTGCAGGGTTCACCAATATAATCAAATGTCTCCCTTAATCTGCACAGTGGTGTGGTGGCATATTAAAAAAAAAAAAAAAAAAAAAAAAAGAAACCTTATCTAAATGGAAAAGAAGTTTTCAAGTAAAGGAGAGTACCAGGGCGAAGTAACAAAAACCCCTTTAGACTTCTTTAAAAGGGCAAGAACAACAACAAACAACTCTTAAATTTTCTATACATGTGAATTACGTACCAACAGCTCTAAATATGAAATGGCTACTTATCATTCATCTGTTGGTGGGCTTTCATAAGATAGAAGAAAACTGATCAGTAATAATTTAAAAAACCCATTCAAATCTGTTTTTAAATCCCTAAACTTTATATTCTAAGTCAGACAGAATAGGTCAAGTGAGTACTTAGTGAATAATTTCAGCTTTCGTGGGTTGTTGTGGTGATTGTTTCTTTTTGGTTTGGGTTTGTTTATAAGAGCAAGATATTCAGTCCATTAAAGGAAAACCCATTTAGCCTGTGTGGTTTTTAAACATTTATTTCCCACATAATTTTTCTTAATTTGAAAAGTCTCCATTTGCAGGTTTTTTCTTGATTGTCCTGAGATGGATGATTTAATTACAGAAACAAATGGTTTTAGGTCTTTTATGGCTCCCACTACCATAGTAGAGAAATACCTCTCTATGCATAACTTATCCACATAAACTTGCCTATCGAGTTGGGAAACAACAACATGGCATCAAGATGTCCTGTGCCTCCTGATTACATGCCTCAGCCACAAGCCAGGTCTACCCAAGCATGTGGCTTTGCCATGGCATGAGTCTTCCTATGCCCCATGTTTTTGTGGTCATGAAGCCAGAGAGGGTCCTGGAACTGGTGGGCAGCCAGTGATGGCAGGTCGATGGCACTGGCACTGTGAGCTGGCCCACTGCATGAAGCTACCTCCCAGTTAAGAGTGGATACAAGCACACCTGCTTTTCACCCAGAAATAGTAGTCTGTGACAGCTCAACATCCAGCCAAGAAAAAAAAAAGTATGATTTACTCAAGTCCTCTGACTTTACACCAAGAAGAAACACGAAGTTGATAATCCTAGTCTCGCACCAGCTTCTTTATGGATAAATGGTGTTGGTGGAAATAATGGTGTGTAGATTAATATTGGCCCAAAAGAGAGACAATATTAATCCTAAAAAATTCATCTGTCTTGTGTCCTTTAATCACTACAGCTGCAAAAGCATCATCAGGAGGTTAGTTTTTACAATAGAATTAGTTAATGTGTATTCACTGGAAGTCCACTGGACTGACTAGAAGTACAACCAGAGTCCAAAACAAGGCAACAGTGAAGACTAATATGTTTAGAGGCATTAATTGAATCATCTATTGCAGAGCTGCACCAGGCTGCAGCCACGGAGGATCATTAGCAGATCAGCATTCATTGCTCACTGCAAAGTCCTTCAGGACCAAAATGAAAACAAATTCCAAAACTTTTCTGAGATAGAAACTTTGGACAACTGAATTTAGGGATCATTCCTTGGGAATACATGTTTTGGAATATTCATATATTACAGCACCCCCTAAAAGCCCAGTTGTGAAGCAGACATATATACCTCACAGCTTCCAAAATAATATTCTATCGCTGACAAAAGGCAGCTTATTTATTTTTTCACAATTGATGAAGTTTCAAATATGTAATCTCAGCCTGATTTTCTAATATTTTCTTCTACTTTTCTTCTCTTAATAATAATGACAGGACCAAATAGGGTATTACCTCATTTATTTCTGTTTGTCCATGGTCCTTGTAGGTTTGTACTTCTGATATGATGTGGGAATCTTGGTGATGGAGCATCCAAGTACTACATGTGGTTCTTGAACTTCTGTGAGCAAGTAGAGGTGGATAATTCATCCTGGTAGTTTTGGAGTGCAATAAACACCAGGAACCTGAAAAGAGGTAAAGTTTTCAAATTATTTACTGTTAATTATTTTTAGCAAAGAGTACACTTAGCATTTTAAAGATGCAATGAAAATCTTATGCTGACTGAGAAAAGCATCTGCATGAAAAACAATTTCTTGTTCTCTCCCAGGATGTATTCTTATCTTTTAAACTTTACCCGGTGTTGTTCCTGACCTTCATATTTTTGCAAGCCAACAATTACTATTCATGGCATTTTCCATCAGATTTGTTTGCTGTTATGTATTGGTTCTAAAATTACGGGTCTCGTCCAGTTTTAATTCTTTTTCCCTTGTCACCGATAGTATTAAAGATTGTGTCATAACTGGGCACCAAAACTATTTGCAATGCTGTGGAAAGGTGAAATAAGCTTGTTAAAAAAAAAATCACATCCTGATTTAATGCTTTCATAATATTCCTCTATTTATTTTTAATAGGAAGTGGAACAACCTGCAATACAGATTTCATAGCTTTTAAACACTAATTTACTCTTGATACTTTTTTCCCCCCAATTTGCTGCAACAAGATAATTGTACTGACTATGCAATTGTGAGTGAGAAAAGATTACAGTGTGTAGCATCCCAGTGTTTTTGACAACCTGATGTATTGCAACTTGAAACATGTGAGTCCTTTCAGTGTTATTCTCTCATGCTCATTAAAACTGAGAACAGGGTTTTGGAGTCTGACACTGCTTTTCCTGCCTGTTTCTAAGGAAGAGTAGAAATAAGCCATTTACACTGGTGACACAGGTCCCATTCACATGTTTGTACTTGTGACCGGAGGGCTAATTTCCTGTTTCAGTTTTATTCTCATTTTCAGCCTGAGGCTGAAGGGAAATGATGATGGAGATGGCTAAATGGCACCTCGAGTGTATCTGTGAAATCACACGACAGCATTCTGTGCTGACTACAAGTAAGGGCAATACCTGGCTCTGCAACCATTATTTCTGTGAGATGCTAGCCAAGGAGAAGGAATCACGTGTGTTTAGTGGAGAGAAGAAGATCAAGTCCAATAATTTTTGTTTAATATGAGCTTTGAACACACTCCCCAGTGCAACCCGAGCTTTGTGTCACCAGCTCAGCTGTTATGTGGCTCTTGTCCCGTTTGCAAGTTGTCCACTAGAAACATGAGGAGTAGGGAGAGAAAGGGGTTGGCTTCTTTCCTCAGAAGAGAGTTAGGATGTTCTGGAGTCAAGCTTCTTATTTGGGGCAAACAAAGCCTCTTTAGACTCAGCCATCAGAATGCAGAGAAACAGCATTATTGTGGGGTTTCTGCTAAGACACTGAGTCCTGAGCAGTTGCTCAGAAACCGGTAACTTGTTTCATAACAACTCATTTCCTCTCTTTATGGAAGTATATCTTGAGTTTTGGTAGAATTCAGACCATGTCCTACCTTCTTCCCCATAAATCACCATGGATAACAGAGCAGGAAGCTTCATACCAGAGAGACGAATGGGTCACGCAGCAAAAATGTCAGTCCTGGAAAGAAAAGGATATTCCTGTCAAGTGTTTAAAAACAGTATATGCCCCTTTTTTTCTTAAAAGGGGAAAAATAGGTGTTAATAATTCTGTCATGTGCCTTAGGATCTCTGGGTTGACACTTGATATTTGCCTTGTGTTGCTCATATACCTCTATGGGTACAAAGGTATGATTAGAACTATGGTAGTTTAGCAGAACATGGTGGAAGGTGGGTTATCATTCCAGCAGAGAAATGCCTCAGCAAGTCAATCTGACTTTTGTTCTTTGACTTTGCTATCTATTGTATACTAGCCAAACCAACTTTTTAGATTTAATAGGACAGTCTCTTCGCTTTCTGAAAGTTGCAGTTCAGTGGGTGTTATTCCAAAAAGCATCCATTTCCAGCACTTTCAGGATCAAACCATTCTTTGCATCTCTGGTTTACACTAAGATTGCACTGTAGCCATTATCCTTTGGAAACTAAAGACAAAGTAGAAGTGGCTTTTCCCTCTCATTTAATCACCACCATTACGAGTTACAATAGTAAGGGCAGTGCCCAGTGGCAAATTTCCACATTATGGAATACTGTGAAAACTGCCAAAGCCTGACATAGGACATTTTAAATACTGTCCCGTGAAAAACATAAAAAACCAAAGTTTTCTATCTACTCGGCCAGATAAATATTTAAAAGAAAAATTAAGGTGACTTTTAAAAGGTTATGTGTTTTAGTGAAGGTGCAGTGTTTAGAGTCCAGGAAGGATTTAAAGCTCAACAAACTAAATGGTATAATTTCTATTCTTTTTCCCAAGTAGACAGAGCACTGCTGTAGCCTACCTGAAGAGAACTCTTGGGTTTTCCCCTAAAGGCTGTGAATAGTTAGGCTTTAAGTTCAACTTAAAGCTGGGCAAATAATAGGTAAAAATAAATCACAAATATTTGGAGTTATGTTGAAAGGGAAACACCTGACCATGTCCTATTGATTTTTATGTTCATCTCTTCAGAAATATTTATATTCCTGTGAGTGAAATTTTATTTGTACAAAAGTCTGAGAAATAGACTTTCAGGTTGTAGGCTGAAATCAGTTTGGTAGTATACCAAATCTATTTCAGGTCAAAGTGAAAGTTAGAGATTTCTGGTTTTAAATTTGTCAGAAGGCTCTTTTCTCTCTCTTCCCCTTTTCCCTCTCTCTTCCTGAGGAAGTACTCAGAGTAGGAATGGCTCATGATATTAGAAAACATACCTTCACTGAAAGGGTGGTCAGGAAAGCGATGGAATCACCATCCCTGGAGGTATTTAAAACATGTGTAGGCATGACACTTAGTTTAGTATCATGATTTAGAGGTGAACTTGGTAATGATGGGTTAATGGTTTGACTCAATGGTCTTAGAGGTCTTTTTCAACCTAAACAACTCTATGACTCTAAATGACCCAGTTCCTTGCTGCCCCAGGTGCCGCTGTTATCTAGCTCTAAATACAAATTCAACACTCAATAGAACAATTCAGTATCTCCAATAATGAAACTCTGTAATATTTTACTTTTTAGAATCATGATAGAATAATCTTTAACAGCCACATTGTAATCGTTCTTTTATACCTCACCCTGGGGTGATTGTTGATCTATCTGAATTGTTTTTTCTCTTTTCCTTCTGTCTATCCACTATAAACTTCTTCCCAATCAGTTATATACTTCTTCCTAATCAGAACCACCCTGAGAAGGACACGCTTTTGAAAACAATTTGAATCTTGTCCTTGAAATTCTAAACAAGATCTAGGGAGACCTGTTCAAAGAACCTTCCTCCTTCTTCCTGCACATCCTGCTGCCCTTGGTGTTGTCTCTCACTTCTGTGCAGGTGATATCTGCCAATGAATTAGGAAGATGTACCGAGAGAGAGTCCTTTGAAAGAAGCAAATCTTGACTGAAATACACTCTTCCAAAGGTTCAGCAAGAAGATATTATTCTTGTAGTGCTAACAGTAGGATTATGAACATCAAAATATTCATGCATGCTCTTCATATGCAAGCAAAGAACTGTGCTGACAGAGGAGTCTGTGAGGAGGGCAGCTGAACCAGAAACCTTTGAGGCAGACTGGATTGCATGGGACACAGCCATGTATCCTTACCATGAGGAAAAGTCTGGCCATTAGGTTTTGTACCCAGCTTTCTTAAAATGATCCAAAATATGTGGCCAGAGATACTTAGAGGTGCTCAGAAACGCATAAGTTTTGCAATATGTTAAAAAGAAAACTCCCAAACACTTAAACTCTTTAATCTGTTAACCTGGTTTCCCATAACTGCCTTTGCTTCAGTCTGTCTCCTCTGTGAATATGTTTAAATATAATGAAGTGTACCATCAAGAAAGGGAAAATCAGAAACATATCCCAAGGTTACCTACTACAAACAGCAATATTAGTTCTCTAAACAGAACTTTCAAGCATGTCATTGGGCAAATGTTGCTGACATAAGATCTCCAAATAATTACAGACTGCAGTAGCATTCGGGAAAGTGAAAGTATCTTTGTGAACAATAAATTCATTTATTTGTTCTACATAGATGATATACAGGACAAATGGCAGAGGCAGATGTATAGTTCATGTGTTACTTAATAGGCAATGGTTTCCCTCAGTAGTAATGACAGTGCCTTGACTGGTGGTGCAAAAGAGAAGAGAGTGTGGTCAAATTAGCAGAGAAAATGGGTTTCATAAATGTAGTAATATTGAACATATTACGACATTGGTATTTGGTCAAATTCTTTCCTTGGCTAGCAATCAGATAGGTAATTCTAAAAGCAATCAGGCAACTCCAGAATCCTCTAGAATTTTTAGGTGGATGTAGTTTCTTCATTAATTTCATCTGACTACTGAGCAATCATCACATTCTCAGGAAGGGAAGCAACATGGTATGTCAAGGTATGGTAGTTGTTGGTATACATACAGCCCTTTAACTTATCCTTTGGTTTTTTTTTTTTTAATAATTAAATCTTTGTGTGATTCTTGACTACTTATGTTTTAGTCAGACTAAATATTACTGTTTGAAACTAATAATCAATAAGCATATGTGAAAACAACAGAGGGGCTAGTAAAATTGATTACAAATCTAATATTGCTGTAACCACCACAGCCTCATGCTAAAAAGCATTTATCATATTGAAATCAGACAGCTCTTCTGCTTTGCAAAGGGACTCTAACTCTGCATTATAAAACCCTGGAAAGTATTTTCAAATGCTTTGCAAAAAGATCACTATTTTTCTATTTAAAAAGCAAGACAATAATCTTATTAATTTTTCAGCTAAAAAATTCCTAGGAGATTTTGGGAAGTTCTTTGAATGAGGACCCTTCCCCATCTTGATTCTACAACGTCCCTGACCATTGAGTTCAGTGGCACTTGGGCTCCCATACACCTCTGTGTTTCTGCACACACCCTCAGAAAGCTTTTCCTTGTGCTGGTTTCTGAAGTTTGTAATTGGCCTTGTTGCCTATGGCTGGCACACAGCGTGCAAGGAGCTTCCATTCCTTATTTTGCATGTGGCTTTTAACCTCCGTGGTGTTGCTCCCTGCAGCAGAGCACACTGGGGGACAATGAGTGCTGAGAGGAGTCAAGTGTCTTAGAGGTTAAGATGCAAACTCTTCACCTAGATAGTGAAAATTACTCTGTTGACAGGGATTACACCTTCAAGCATTGACCTTATGTCATTCAACTCAGTACAAGATGCAGTTGTATAAAAGTGCTTTATACATAACTCCATATTACCTGTGGAGAGGTTTTTGATTGTTAAACAATGAGGAGGAGGAGAAACTGCATGAAAGAATCGTGTGTTTCCAATATTTTTATGCATAAT